AATTACTTCCTGTCAAAAAATAAGAACTTAAACAATGTGTCAAACTCTCACATAAAATGTGCTGCTCAACTTTTATTCAGCTTTTATCTAACTAATCAATAGAAATATAATTTGGCATAATATGCAAATTCAAACAATAACTATTAGCGAGTGGTAGTCTCAGGATAGTCTCAGTACTTCATATTGGAATTATTTTAAAATTATATTTAAATAGTAGCAGCAGATTTTTGCTTCCTATGAACTATTTTTTCCAACTTAGAAAAATTAGTGGTAAATCTAGTAGGTCTTAACAAAAAAACTTCCTGAGTAAGTTTGAAGTTGTGAAAGATTTGATTTACTTAGTCACTAGCGTAAACATCAGAAATCATGTCCATCTAAAGATTCAACGAAGAATCTGGCATGCCAACAGATGTTACTTTGGGCTAAGAAGGCAACTAAGATATAAAGCCTCTCTCTATAAACAAAACTCCCGAGTTCTGTAAGTCTATCATTATGCTTGCTTCATGGTGAAGAAATTGTATAATTGCCAACAGTATGAGAAGACGTAAGGAGCATTCAAGAAAAATATGCTTCGCAAAATCTATGTATTTATTTACATATAAAGATCTATGTATGTAACATTTACATTAATATAGTTAAGTTAATATAGTTAGAATGGAAGAAAGTGATGCAGCTAGAAAGGTGTTTGATTCAGTATCCGACGGTGGAAACCCAATAGAATACTTTCGCACCTTCGATTAAAGGAGCAAGTGAATAACGCTATGTGGTACTACCAACTGGCATTATCAATCCACTGATACAAATGCCTGTTGGAGGTTATTGAACGCAGTCTAGCACGACTCACGTCTGAAATGTCCAACTAAGTAAGTAAGTACTAAAATATTTTTAATTATAAGAACTTGTTCATCTTATGTTATTTGCACATATTGTAAATTATAATCTAATATTATAATAATATTTGATATATAATCATATTATTTTAAAATTAATTTCACAAAATAACTTTCTTAACATAACATTTACTGTATTTTTAAAAAGAAAATATTAAGTCTTGCAAGTTCTATAAATAAAAATTTCCATAAAAAGAAGTCACACTCTGTCAAATAAAAGCAATAACAACATTCAAAAGTGTTTCAGTCAGTCAAAAGTACATACAAACAAAGCTGTCAAGCAAAGTGTGTGTAGGCACTGTTAAGTCAACTTTATGTATGGCAGGCTGGATTTAGCCGATGCACTTGCTGCCTTATATGCTTGCAAGCAAAAGCTTGCAATTGTCTCTTCCTGCACACAACACTAAATGTTTGCTCAACATACACGCAAACCACATAAAGTACTGTTTAAATATTTATTTTGTGTTGGCGCTACTCTTAAGATTTTCTTTACTTTTAATTTTATTTAATTTTAAAATTTAATTTTCAATGTAAATAAAATGAAATTCTGCAAAATTTGCTGTTGCTGTTGAATTGAGCCTTTCTGTAAGACAACAAATTGTTGCAATGTTTGCTTTAAGAAAGAATGTAAATATGTAAATACATACGAACAAAGGTTTAACATTCATGTTATTATTTTAGCTTTACCTTTTATGTTGTTGTTGCTGCTGTTGATTGGAAATTCAAACTGTAAATTTCGAAGTTTATGTTAAGTTCTGCAGCTGATAAGTGTCTTCTGTTGACAGTTTAATTTTTGTGTGAATAAAAATTGTAATTGAAAATTTGTCTTGACGCGCTTATATATTTTCGTTTTTATATAATATATTATATCGAAAGAATTTAAAATTTTATTTACTTTATTTGTTGTTGTATTATTTCACTAAATTGCTAATTTTTGTATTTTGCAATTTTTGTGCTAATACTTTTTTTATGTTTATTTTTTGACTGCTCTTAAAGCAAAAATTAATTCCTATTGGTATTCTTGTTAGGCTCTTCGTCGAGTATTTACAAAGTCGTTGCCTTCTATATGCAGCACTTTGTTTTTGTTTAAATTTTATCAATACTTCTCAGGTTTTTTTCGTTTACACTTTTTTTTTGTTGAAACAAATTTTGTTTAATTTTTTGTTTTTATTTTTTCGTTAGAATTTCTCTTTATTATTTGTTTAGTCGTTTTTATCTCGACTTAATAAAAAATTTCGTTGCTCGAAAATTATTTTCAAGACATCTAAATGCGTTTTTTTGTATTTTATTCGTTGCTGCGTCATATCTTCACTTCTTCTGCTGTATTGTTATCCAAAACTTGTTGCACAGGTAAAAAATATACTTAAAGTGGAGTTACCGGCGAAACTTACTCCTGTTTTATTTATATTTTATTCTTTTATTTTTTTCTTGTTTTTTTGTTCAGTCACAACTGTAAGTGACGTTAATGCGACCCCAAAACCGCGATACGCTCACATTGAACACCGATCGTTAACTAATTTCAACCTGTAAGCAAACTCTACGTTCAGGTTTAAGCCACTTTTGCTGTGATTTTCAAACCTGACTCATTCATACATAATCATTGCTCTTAGTTGAAATCAAATTGAATTGCATGTTTTGTAGAGTGTAGAGTGTAGAGTTTTTGTTGTAGACTCTACTCTGCTCACCACACACACAAACTAACCGGCAGAATTTTAAGTGGAGTAGAGTTCAATTGTCTTATTACCTGTCTTGTTACCTCTTCCCATTCACATTTGACTGTTGCGTTGTTTTGTTTTGTGTCTGTTAAATAATTTTCGTCATTAAAGCGCACCCAATGTGTCTGTTGCTGCTAATTAATTTCAATTTGACGTTTCGACTCCAAGTAGAATGTTTTCTTTTCACATCTCATCGTCAAATTATGCGGTTATTGTGTACGTTTTTCACACAATTATCCCTGCAATTTTAACCCAAACACATTCATATTTTTCGACACCAACTTTTTCTTTTGCCTCCAGCGTATTAAGTTTTCTGGAACGTAAAAATTGTTTTAAAATAAAAAAAAGCAAAAAAAATGAAAGAAACATGAAACATTCTTTGTTACTTGTGCTTCAAATTGATAAGAAAATTTCTGTCTTCTAAACATTTTCCACTTTTTTTTTGCTCTTTTTGAGATACTTTTCTGCTTCGCGTTTTGAGATAATTTTCAGCCTTCAACTTTAAATGTTTGCAAAAATTTTTGATGCTATCGTTTTTTGCTTTTTTGATTTATTGTTGTTGGTGAATATCTTAGCGCAGCTGATGTTGTTGACAATTGTTTGAAAACTTTTTAATTAAATTATTAAAAATATTTACTCAATATACATCACTTATAGATTAAATGGTCGTATGTGTGAGTGGAAGCCATTGCGAAAATTAAAATAAGAAATTAAATTGGATTATTAATTTTAATAAAAATTATCCAAGAAAATAATTGAGTGTAAATGCACTCAAATCACAACAACAACACAATTATTGAGATATACAGATTGTTAAAAAAACAATCTTTTAGTTAAATTAAAATATATAGATTGTAAAGAAAACTATTTTTAATTTTTTTTTAAAATTAATTTATTAACTATCAGATTGTATAGCTAATATAAAGGGCTTTTCCTACACATTCAGGATTAATATGTTAAATGATTTAAAAAAATGTATAAATATATATAATAATACCAGTCTTAATCTTAATATTAATCTTAAACGCAAACTTATAAAATCCGAAAATGAAGTTAGCTTTTAATAATATATATGAAACTGATCAACCCGTCGGGTATAAACACAATAAAAACTATATTTTATTTATTTAAATACATTTTTCAGTTAACATTTTCAATTTTTAAATAATAATTGATTGATAAAATTATAATGAGAAGTTAGTTTACTTATTAAATTTTTCAAGTCAAATTTATGAGTATTTCTTATAATACTAAATGATATAAAATTAAGTTAATAATAAAAAGTTTGAGGTTTAAAATTTATCTATCTTAACTTATAAAAAGTATATAAACAAATTTTTATTGCATACGTAGCTCTATAAGCTTGCTCGATATCTTGACGAACAGAAATCGCTAAATCATTGCGACAGATGATGGTGATTTAGAACAGATACGCCACTATTTATGCTCCTATCCTAACAAACCTAATATATCCTTCATTCCCAACTATATGGAAACAGGAATAAAAAAAAGTAGAATAAAGGTAAGGTCGTATCTTAATAAACTGAATTTACTCTTTTTTCCCCACCGTTGTAAGTCATAAAAACAAATATTTTACTTATATAGTAAGAATGTATATCTGAATCATTGTTTTGTATAACAAATATATTTAGGGCTGAACTTATCTGTTAAATTTTTTTTAAATAGACAATACTTTAATGAATAATATTTGATTATTAATAATATAAATATTATGGAGAAAATATAATGACAAACAAAAGACTATTTCATTTAAGAACTTCTTATTAAGCCATTGACTTGGGTTATATTAGGGTTTATAACGAATTTAGGGTTTATAACGAAACACTTTAATGGAAACATCATCACTTGTAGTCTTAAAGTTAACAAGAGGATGCAAAATACGTTAACCACTATTTCCAATATGTCTCTTTGCGGTACACTTACTAAACCATTTGATTTTCCAGATAAAGTCAAAAATAACCGATAAGTCTACTTTCGCTATTTCTGTTAAGCTAATAAACAAACAATGTTTAGATATTGAAGCTAATTCGTCTTTATTTTTGCACAGAGGCATTGAAAGTGATTTATCGAAATTTTACATCACGGAAACCATTAAACAGAACGCTTGTCAGAATAAATGTTCATAGTTTTAGTATAATACCGTAGCGCCCAGTTACTATCCTAGTAAACATGCAAACTACTATAAAGATTTGCTGTAACCAAAAAAAAATTCTTAATCTTATCCTATCAGCCTAGATCACAAGGTTCTAAGGTTAACACAGTCTATGT